GGGCGGGGCCCCCTGCCAGTCGGGCCCGGCCCGGCGCAGCCGGCACTTCAACAACCCATCCCCACAGAACGGTGGGGAGCCCTGTGCTGGCAGGGACCTGCAGAGCAAAGCCTGCTGAGAACCCACGGGACGGCATCGCTCCACACAGGTACACGGACCAGAGCGGTTTGGAGTCTATGCTGGGCTGTAAATACTCCAGGCATAATCCTGCAATGGAATTATGCTGGGGAGAAATAATTGTTGAGTATCACATTTCTATACATATGGAAACAAGTGGGATTTGCTGTATCAAACCAGAGCAATTGCTCCAGCTGATTGCACACATCCCTGGCTACCTCCTTGCCCTCGCACCACAAGATGTGATGGGAGCCCCACCAGTTCACAGCAGCACTGCCACGTACAGGAGATGACAGAATCACACAGAATTGCCTGGATTGGAAAAGACCTTTAAGAGCATTGTGTCCCATCATTAACCTCACACTGACCAGTCCCCGACTAACCCATGTCCGTCAGCACTATGTCTACGTGACTCTTCAATCCCTCCAGGGATGGGGACTCCACCACTGCCCTGGGCAACCCCTTCCAATGCCCGAGAACCCTTTCAGGAGAGAAATTCTTCCACACATCCAATCTCAACTGCCCTTGGTGCATCTTGAGGCCATTTCCTCTTGTCCTGTCACTTGTTACTTGGTTGAACAGACCAACCCCAATGGTGGGGTCAATGGTGGAGAATCCACACAGGTGGCTTTGCAGCTGGGTGACTGTGGGGCTATAACATGTCATGAAATAAATTTACTAAAAGTGTTTATACAAGTAAGCTTGACTCACATAAATTTTTATATTTGCCTTTGGAAAACACATTAAAAGCTCATGATCCTTGCATTTTTATGCAGTTGGTATTGACATATGTACCATGAAACTTTTATAAGTTGGTGCTGTCAGATTTTTAAGTCCAGCATATTGACCAGGGCTGTGTTTGCAGTAAAGCCATATGCTGCTCTGTACGGCAGGAGGGTTAAGCCTAAAGATGCTGAAGCATCATTGTAAAATGTGAACCCAAACTGACAAAGAATCTTAAATAAATAAATAAAACGAGTAATAAATAGAGAGGCTCAAACACAACCAGTCCACAGAGGATGTTCACACGCAAGCGAAGGCTGCTCCTCGTTACGACCAGTGATGAACTCACTATTAGCACACAGGCCTTTTATCTCCCAGGCACCCAGAGCCAGAGAAGATGCTAACAGGCTGCTTGATTTAAGGGGCTTTTTTGAATGTAAGACGTAAATCTCAGCACAAGAATACACACAGGACTGAACTGCGTCCAGAGAGCGCGGCGAGAGCCCGCAGCTCCCTCTTCTTAATGAACTGTCACAAAAACCTGGGGTGGATGGAAGGCAAATGGCACTTCATTTTACTGGGCTTTTCATTACAAGGAAATAAGGAAAAAAAAAAAAAAGCCCTGAGAAGGAATGAGCATTATGAAAAGCAACAACAGGAACAAAACCTCCAAGCACAAAGGAGTACTTCTATATACATTTGAATGGAAAGAGGGTGTAGAAAGGAATCATGGTTTAGTGAAAGAAATTGCTCAGCTATAGCTCTGGTTCTTGGAAACGCTTGTTTTTCAACAGTGTGTCAGTGGTGATTTAGAGGCTGACACTTAGCTGATGTAAATCAGTGTCGCTCCTTTGCCGCAGCTGATTTATGCTACCTGAAGATCTGGCCCCATATTTTCTTTTGTGTGCATGTTTGCCAAAGGATAATTTTTTTCACCACTTCTCTTTTGCTTGAAAATGAAGCTATAGGCTGGTTTTGTGCATGACAACAACAAACCACGTTGTATCGAGCAAGGAGATAGAATTATGCTGTAAAAAATCCCTGTGGCCTTTTTGCCAACTTTGTTTTTCCAGGTAAAGTTGATATTCACCCAGAGATGAATTTGCTCCCAAGGGCTTGAATGTGCTGTCTTCTATGTTGGGAAAATGCAGCAGCATGAAGCACCTATATATCTGTATGACTTAGACATCCCAGAGGAATGTGAAATGTAGGATCAAAACACATTTTCCCATCAGTGGTTTTATCAAAACTGTTTTGCGTTGGGCTGACAGGTTATGTAGAAACAGGAGACAGTGCTCTGACACCAAGGACCACTTTGGCTCATAGGTGATTCTTACCTTTACACTCACTGCTTAGGACTCAGGAAAATGCCCCAAAGTAAATGAGTATAAAGTCACATTAGTTAGAAAGCCAAGTATGTTTCTTTTGTGACCAGAGGGAAGAAATGAATGAACAGAAGGATCTGATGCCTTGGAAGCTGGGGAGGGATGGAGCCTGGAGGAAGGCAACCTGCATCCTCAGCTTCTAGAGCCATTTCAAGAAGGACAGATCACAGGCTGGAGAACCACCACCAAAAAAAAAAAAAAGAAAAAAAAAGAGTAAATCCAAGTGACTAAAGAAACCAACCTCATGTGAAATACCACCAAGAAGCACATATAAACATGAGCAAAAAGCTGGGATTTGCCTGCAGTTGTTCATTCTCCTCTGTGATGTTGGAGTACAGAGACGAAAATGAGGACATGTGCGGGGCAGAGTTCACCATTCACCTCAAAACCCAGGGCAATGAAATACAAACCCAAGGGCTCCCTTCAAATGCCAAAGGGGCATCTAGTCCCCCAACGCATCCAGGGCTCAGGTATCTGCACGGCTGAAACTCGGGAGCAGCAAAGCTGAAGTCAAAAGAATGGAAGAAGCTGCCTGTAATGTCTGGAAAAAAACAGATTATAAGCAATTACACATTTACAATGCCAGTCAAAGAAGCTAATATATCTCATGCTGAAGTGGCCAGCATGAGAGTTGTGCTAGATGAGATAAGCAGCAAAAATGTACGTTTCTTACTTAAACTAAAAGCTTGGAGGGTACAATAAAACACTGCAGTTCCACCCTGCTTTTAATGAATGGATTTTCCCCTCTTGCACACTGACATACATTTGATATAGTTATTTATCCTATATATTTCTTGCGGCATATTTCCCAGGAGACCTTGTTTATCTCGCTCATAAGTACATGATGGATGTATGGTGCTTTGGATAAATAGTATCACAATCAGATATTTTTATGGATATAGGCAAACTGGGTTATTAACAAAGGAAGGGCAGAGAGGCACTAGTACGCAAAAGAAAATAGCAAATGATTGATGACAATACACCTGAGGTGGCAAGGTGCAGACTCCAGATAACCAGCTAACAGAAGAGCAGATAAGGGTAGCGCTTGAGACAGAGCTGTTTTCTACCTCGGGGTCAATGTCACACCGACTATCCGGATGCCTGCGTCCCTCTGAGCTTGCCATTTTACAGCAGGCAAAAATTCCCCACCAGGAGCAGCTCAAAAATTATTGCCTTCCTTTTTATACAGTGTGATGCAGAGGAAGATACAAAACATTTAATGCTACCCCCAAAAACCTGAAAGCAAAGAAATGTCAGATTCTGGAGAGCGTGGGGAGGGACTGGCATTTGTTGTGCTGCTGTAGCATGCCCAGCACAGAAGAACTCTCAGTGCTGCACTACAAATATGAAAAAAAAAAAATGTCCACAATGGTAATAATTACTGGTTTCATCTCTAGCTTTGTTGATTTCAACAAATGGGGAGATCTCATAGCTGCCTTCCAGTACCTGAAGGGGGCCTACAAGAAAGCTGGGGAGGGACTTTTCATGAGGGCAGTTAATGACAAGACAAGGGGAAATGGGTTTAAGCTGAAAGAGGGGAGGTTTAGATTAGATATTAGGAAGTTTTTCACTGTGAGGGTGGTCAGACACGGGAACAGGTTGCCCAAGGAAGTTGTGGATGCCCCCTCCCTGGAAGTGTTGAAGGCCAGGCTGAATGAGGCTTTGAGCAACCTGGTCTAGTGGAAGGTGTCCCTGCTGCTGGCAGGGGGGTTGGAACTGGATGATCTTTAAGGTCCCTTCCAACCCAAACCATTCTATGATTCTATGATTTACAGAAGCAGGGGGCGGGGGTGTTAAAAGAGGATATAAAAGGAAGACAAACCTGCAGGCATAATTTGACCAGAAATGTGGCAGTTGCCTTGGGTGCTCACCTCCATCAAGGAAGAAGGAGGAGTTGGAAATCTGGAGACTGCTAACACCTCTGCATGGACAGTGAGTCACTTTCAACAAAATCTCTCCATCTGGGAGAGAACCTGGGGAGGAACAACTACATCCATCTGATAGCGGGAAAAACAGGAACATGGTAAAGTAATTTAGCAATACTGCAACTACCACAGGGTTTGGAAGTCCCCAGCTGGAGCAAAGACCATGTCTAAGCCTCACAGGTACAGTGTCTACATGACATGAAAAGAGCAAATTAATCCAGGCTGGACCCAGTCTGATTTACCTACTCCTGATGGAGATGTTATGAGCTGCAAGAGTCAAGTTGGTTTTGTTTTGGGAAAGCTGGACGTGACAATTACAACTTACCTAAAATACCCTTCTGGGAGCTTCCTAAGCCATGTTGACTGGATTCAGCACACATCACAGCAGCAATGTCTTCAAACAAGGAGGTGGAGAAAGTACAGTTTCTCTGTGTTTACTGAGTTGCTTTTTTTTCACAAGCAAACTGCTTGTGAACATATAATATGGGATATAGCAAAGTCCATTGAGACAAGTGTCTTAACCAGAGAAATGGGCAATCAGCACATGCACCCATTGTGCCTGCAGCTTTCCTGAGCTCTCATACGTGGGTTATTAATCTAAACTTACACAGAAAGTGGAAGTTAGAAACACCAGTAAAAGATAGTACCAAAATTTAATGCGTACCAAAATGAAACAATAAAACCTTCAGCATAGTATTTTTTATTATCCTCCAGGTCATAATAAATCACTAGTTAGTTGAATCAAAGCACAAAATCACAAGGACAAGATAGTTATGTCCTTTATGGGAGGCTTCTAAGCCTACAGGCTCAATATTCAACCACTACTGAAACCACGCTTCAGTTAGACTATCCCACTGATCTGAAGATTGTCAAATCTCTCCTCTCTTCCTCCAAAAAAACCCTCAAGTATCCAAACCCAGGCACTGCCACTTCAAAAAAATTTGGGGTTTTCTGATCCGGGAACAAGA